TAACTCAAAAGACGAATAGAATCCTGCAGCAGGATCAGTGTAGGTATTTGAATTCATTAAACAGGCAATGATTGCTTTGAAAAAGTCTTATGTTTACTTCTATCTCTTTCTCGGTGTATCGCTCTGTCTGAGTATCCTTTATAACTTTAAGGCCTGATAGTTTATTGCAGTCGTTCATTTCACCAGCCACAGTTCAATACGATGGTCAAGATCAGATTCATTGAGTTGTGGTTGCATAAATCGTATTCACTTTGTTTAATGTATCTCCCAACAAGCAACGAGATATTTTATACAAAGTGAATATATTTTTATGTAACCACACACGAACGGTTACGGCGTGTGCTATAAAGATTAGCTTTAAAGACTTGTATGATAGACTTAATATTATGTGGTGATCGTGTAAACCTTTTAAGAAGTCTTCATGAAGACAAACGTCTATCTGAACTGGTTCTTTAAATAGAAGACTACTGTCATCACTATTTGCATTTAATCATAGGCAGATGTATGAAGTCAGACACATTGATGAAATTGTTGGAGGTAGAGGACTTCCATGTACTTTTCCTGCTTGGGATATCAGGGAACTCTCTAGTATCAATATTCTCTAAACTCCAAACTTTTTAAACAGCTTGGTAAGATTTTTAAATCTTTTAGTATATCTTGTAGGTTCATTAATCCTTTTCTTATTTCGTTTAGACTACTCATTATCACTGGTACTGACAGTCTCTTGCTCTTTGGATTGACCGAATTTAATCGGTTTATCGGTAAGAAGGATATTTTTCCCTGGTGTTTGTTTGTTTTTGTAAAAGATGTACTAATGTCAAAGTTAACTGTTTATTTGAGTTATATATGTAGTTGTCGGTTTGGGTAAATGCAAGTTCATCATAAATAAATTTGCTTGGACATATATCTCCCTGCGTTCTGAAAGTATTTGTGGAAAGTTTCTTTCTACTTCAGTTGGAATGGCATAGGATATTACAGCTGTGTTTAATACAGCTGTGGCTTCCACAAATGTTCTAGCCTGAATTAAACTAACGCCTTTCTCACGTTTCACGTGTTCTCCTCTTTGAATGGAATGATGAGAACCGAATCAGAACCAAGTTATCACCTCTTGTGATAGCCAAAACGCACGTATGTCGATTTCCTCTCTGTGCGACAGAAATATTTTGACTTGAATAGTTTTTAGAAAAGAGAGGATGTACCACTCGAAAACATACTGAACATTTACAGGGATTGTAAGATACAGAACAAATTAATTGTTTTAAGGACCCTGGACGTGTTACATTTCTATCATATTTTATTAACATTTCAAAGAATGTTTATATTTGTCACTGTTATATTTGCTAACATTCATATGCAAGTTTTTCAAATCATAATTTTTGTGCATATCACCTGTACATTTTTCGAACTTTACCTTTGGTTGGTATTATCTTTGTGCTAAGTTACTATAAACTCTACAACATTTATAATTTTATTGTTTCTATATCCGGTCCAATGGCATCTTCAAATTAAAGTGAGAAGCAGAAAAATAGTATTTTAATACAAAATGTCACTTCGAGTTCTCTTAGTGATATAAATTAAATCGTTTGTGAATTCCCGATAGTTTTACTCTACCCTAAGTCTCGCTTTAGCACTGACAGCTCCAGTGGCCTAGTGGTTAGAGCGTCCATCTCGGATGCGAGAGGTCGTGGATTCGATCCCCTAACGAGTCATACTAAAGATTTACAAAAATGGTACTTAAGGCAGCCTTGCTTGGCGCTTAACGTTAAGAGGTTAGTGCTAGGACTGGTCATCCTGGTGTCAGGATAATGTGACTGGGTGGGACATCATGCTACATGTCTGCGGCATGATGCTCCAGTGCTAGAAATTACTATAAACTGCCATACTGCAGACATAGTAGCGATATGACTGAAATTTGTTTAAAGCTAAGTTAAAAATCAAAATCACACACACAGACACACACAGAGACACATACACATATGCGCGCCCTTTAGCATTAACAGACCAATCATATTACCTGTTTAATTATGGATCCATTTCATAGAGATATAATTATAACTGTCATCACTGCAACGGAAAAAGATATATACTACATATTCTTATCCTGTATTAAAAATCCTCGTCTGCAATTAAAACCAAAATTTGCTGTAAAATGATGAAGTCTATGGCTGCTTGTTTGCAAAGATATATATTTTCTACTCGGTCACCTTTCATCGAGAGCCGTTTTGAGTGCAGCTGTATGCACTTGCCCAGACAGAGGAGTTCAGTTTAGTCTGTACTCCAGCACTGTGTATAGAAATTACACATGTATAAGACTTGGTATTGCATTTTTAAGTATATCTGCATTCTATTCCATTGAATGTGCAATAGTTTCAGACCATTACGAATATTGTTGAAAGTAATTATATACCAATTAGCTTCATCATATTCATAGGGTTTCTGTTTTTGTATTAAACATTTAAATGAAAGTATCATCATGCATGAACATCAAAATAAGCACATTTGAAAATGATTATTGGAAAAATTAAATCATATGAAACGTAAGTGTCCCTGTATTCAATCTGCCGTTGTTCAAAGTGTACTAATATTTCCGGTATTAGGTAATAAATAGAAGCCATTTCTTATGAGTGCTAATTGACAATTACTTCCACCGTTTTAGATCCAGACACAAACTATGTGCAGAAGTGGTGAGCAGTCTTCTCTTGCCTTAAGCGGTGCTGCATGCTGTTATGATGCACAAGAATGACATTTGCAGTCTTTCACTGAAAGCAGACTCATCTTTCTCGGCGCAACTTGTCTGCTCAGTTGTTGCTTTTCTTTGTATTAAATTATTTCACAAGTGGAGTCTATCTCGTACCGATATTCATTTCCGTCCCAGTCATACATATATTGGTAGACTTGTCTTTTGTGTGTTTGTGGGAGAAAACAACTATATATCTCTGAGATGCAGCACACCGTGTGTAGATGAAAAATCAAGAAGGTAGATACTGCTAGTACGAAATTATTATCCTTATTCAAATGAATAACATTTTGCTTGATTTGTTTAACCTTTAATACAAGGAAGACATTTCTACAATATTTCAATAAATTTAGACGCGTGACACTGCATTCCTTTCGACAGTGCTATAAAACTATCGTTTAAAGGTAACGACCTTTGAGTGTCTGTAAACAATCCGTGTATCAATCATTATTACTGACTCAATCGCCGAACGGTGTTTTAGTATGCCTCTTTAAAAGAAAATGACTTACTTAATATTAAAAACAGCACCACCTGACATTTCAAGAGACTGATAAAGCCGCTGCAGTAGTGACCATTATCATCAAGAAACTCGCAAATGCCAGATTGATCTCTGTACGACGCAAATCCAAATTTCATTCAACCTTTTGGCATACGAATCATTCCTATCGTAGAAGCAGTATAATTCAGTGTCTCAAATATAGTAACAGTGCGTCTTCCAAAACCACCGCTCTGGCCATCTAAACCTTTTAAAGTAATATCTCACCTTTGCGAATTTAAGAAGCGTTCAGTAAAACCTTTTCTTAAGTTAATTTAATAAAATCATACAGAGAATCCGAAACATGGAAATACACCTGAAGTTACCATCGCAACACCCAGTGACACCATTTGGAGTCAATTTCATGATAGCGCTTCAAGATGTTTGCGCAGAAATTCCAGTTCAGATGAAAACTTGAAACTTCAATAAACTTCTCAAAAAGCAAACTGCATTTTGGTTCGCATTTCCCTTACTGAAAGCCTTTAATTTAATAACACCTTAATATCACATATATTTCAAAATATTGTTTGATCATACATGTGTATACAAATAGTTGAAGGGTAGATAAAGCGACTAAATATGTCTGTAGTAATCAGTTTCCGATTGGAAGATACAATATACTAACTTAAGACATAAATCATATTGTTCTTCATACTTGGTAAAATGTTTGAAATGACATCTCCACAAATGTAAACGAAAATCTTTATAGTACATTGGTACCCATCCTATATAAATATTAACAAAGATGAAGTGGCATTTATCCGATAGCCCACTTGGTTTCATCGACCTTGGACTTTTTTTTAAAAAAAATGAAACAATACACAATATATATCATTTATTCAAAGTACAAACTCATTCATAGGAACTTGGAATTAACAATGTCATAACTAAACCTTTTATAAAATAATATACATAACATAGATTTGTATAACAACACAAACAAGGATATGATCTAGATTATGTCCAGTCAGCCCCATGAAATGCTAGAATTTTATCGATCTAATCCATTGCATAGGTGTTACCTGCAGAAACATCTCAAGTTTTAGAACAAAACAGTTAGGTTTTTTTTTTTTACCATGAATCAATTATCTATAATTTTACAGTTTTGTATGCAATATGCTGTTCAAGACGTTTTAAAAATGACAATAGTTCGACCGTGAGATATGAATACAGGTCGTTAGTAATATCGAAGCTTGACTATGATTAAACTGTGTACGGATAAATTATGTAGCTTTTTGACCTGATACACGGTCCGAAACATATATTCTGTATAGGTGCATTTAAAACTTGCCACCATGCTGAAACCAATGTAATATCACTCGCCTGAATTGGATAGCTGCATACCTCGTGTGAGAGAAATCAGATATGTACTTGACTCGTGCGTACTGCTAAAGGGGGAAACTGGGTCGCATTGTGTACCCTGCTAGTGTCCATTGACCATGCAGCATGTTCTTGTAGAGTGTATCAATTTCCAAACAAAAGTATTTTGACGTTACCTGCTTGAAGATGTGAGGAGGTACCACCCGAGAAGGCCATAAGGGTTTCAAGAGAATCCGGTTTATACAATAAAGTTTAGTCAAGCTTTCTGGATTTTACATGAGTTAATTTGATCTCTTGTTTTACTTTTATATTTTGTCTTGCACTTCATGTTTACATTTATTCGGAATGATTTTTCTTCCTGTTTTCTTTAGAGTATTTCATTTTTGTATATTTTGAATATCTACCTTTAGTTCCAGTGGCCTAGTGGTTAGAGCGTCCAACTCGGATACAGGAGGTCGTGGGTTCGATTCCCGGTGGAGTCATACCAAAGACTTATAGAAATGGTACTAACAGCTGCCTCGCTTGACGCTTAGCATTAAGAGGTTAGTGTTAGGACTGGTCGGCCTGGTGTCAGGATAATGTGACTGGGTAAAAAATCATGCTACATGTCTGCGGCATGATGCCCCAGTGCTAGACATCGCTATAAACTGCCACACTGCAGACATCGTAGCGATATGACTGAAAAACTGTTAAAGCTACGTTAAAAATCACAAATACCACCACCTTTAGCTGGCACTATATTATTATGATGAGGTGTCGTAAAGCTCTACTACAAATAATTGGAGAGATGCCAATACTAATTATTCCATTTTCACTTACTATTTGACATTTGAATAATTGATTGGGCAAATAATAACAAAGAGTAACCACAAAATCATGTACTGAAACTTCAAAACTGCCATGACATCTTTAGAAAATTCTGATAATCTTGCTGCACGTATGCAATACAAACAAACACAGCGGCATAAACACTGTATGCATAGACCAATAAATAGAACAAGAACCTGTTTCGTGATGTACATTGTAATCGTATTGTATATACAGTTGTCTGTATTCGATCGCAGGCGATGCACATCCCTAGTGGACACTGGCAAGAAAAGAAAGAACTCTTGTTAAGATTTACTATGTGAGAGTCATTCATGAGTCGAATGTGTGTGTGCGTGTGTCTCCTATACTCGTTATTTTGCACAGTACTTATCTCAGATTGCATGAACACAATGTTTCAATAAGATTTAAGATAATAACGGGTTTTGTTAATTTGTACTATAAAACCTGAGGTTTCATTCAGTATTTGTCGCGATATGGTGCTATGGAATGTTTCTTAACTGTATCGATAACCTCATAAAAAACAAGAAAACAAGAATGTTATCAACAAGTCCAGCTTAACACGGCTCATAAGGACATAAAATGGCAACCAAATCTGCACCATACGGTCATCAAGAAATGGTTAAGATAAGACCATACTAGCAAATTTTAATGAGCGTCATCAAACATAAGGTGAAGAGTTGTGTTAAAAAGATACATTTCATCTATTTTTGACGCGATCTTCATATATAAATATATATTCATTGAATAAACACTTTAAACGTTTCCAGCTATAAAAATAAGTATATTGAATATTTATCCATGGAGGCAATATATTGAAAGGCATAATAAGATCCATGATGTAAATTGTAGTCTGAAAAAAAATGCATAGCTCATGGTAATAGAGATAGGGATCATTATACGTTGAAAGAGCTATATACATCGAAAAATTTATTATTCTTCATGCAAAATAGTAATAGTAATACCCGACATCAACTTCAATCTCTGATTGTGGAGCTGGTAAAAGGAAGGGTAAACAATGTTATAGTTTCAACTGTGAATACATTTAAGATTCTTGACAGAGTGACAGCTTTGGAAACCTTCGCCAAATTAACTTTCGATGATATGCACGAATACTTTCATCCATCGAGCAATTGAACTGACGCAACTGCATTAGATAAACCACATCACCTGACCTCATCCCGCCACATCAGCATTATTAAGGGTAAATACATTGAACAAAATTTGATGCTTCATCATACTTGATTTTCTGGCAACTTGTATATTTTAAAACAAATTAAACGTGTTGGAGTTCACCTAAAATATGTTGGATTCCATGTTTTTCAACATGATCTGTACATATAAACAAATTGGCTATAATATAGTTGTCGATCGCTACTCATACATTGGTACCTTGCTGCCTCGTTAAAGGCTCTATATCTACCCTCTAAAAATTTTAATTAAAGTCAAAATTTGTCAGCTTTCCCCGGATTAAAAATTACATTTTGTCAGGTTTTCCCAATCTGCTCATTAATGTATTCAATCTTCTGTCACACCATCATGTGTTGCAACAGTATTTAATCTGCTGTAACACTGTTATATCATTCTGGATATTGTTGTTACGGAATGGTATAAATCATTTTATTTATTAAATACATGTGCTCGGGTTTCGTTTTCTGTGTACAACGATACCTGAGAGTGATTTATGGATATTTACAATATTTCGAAACAGTGAGTTCGGTTAACGTGCGAAATGTTTTCGATGAGAAAAAACGAATAGTACCAGCTCACAGACAATGTAGGGCTCCATCGTCTGTGTATAAATGCCTCACCTTAAGACTAAAACTTTACATTACGGAACTTCTTGTCAGTGAGCAGTATACTTAAGGACTAGCACATCTGCAGCTGTAGAGGTATGTGAGATATTTATTAATTTCTTATGTATATTATAAGTTATAACTATTGCACATTTACATTTGTATATATTTTATGTAGCTTTGGCATGGTGGTTGGTACCTAACTGAAATGCTGACAGCTTGATTGACCAGCGTGACTTTCAGTCAAGTGTGCTAGTAACGGAATGCGTTTGTGTTACTCCATGCATGTAATCTATTACCCGTGGGCTAATTTTTGGGTTTGTTATACCTAGTGTTTTGGGATTGTAAAAATATTGTGTATAATATATATATATATATATATATATATATATATATATATATATATATATCCCTTATGTTTTCATGATTTTACTATTTGAGTAAAGAAGCTTACTTTTCACTATTTGAGTCAATAAATTTTACTATACGAATAAAGAACACTATTTTTACTATTTGAGTAAAATACATCATTTTTATTATTTTAGTAAAATGCATCATTTTTACTATTGGAGTAAAATATCATTTTTACCATTTTAGTTAAACATCATTATTTTTGTCATTTGAATTTGCTGTAGATCATTAGCCTTTGTCGTTTTACTAAGAAATATCATTTATTTATATTCACGTTTATTTTGCAATTTTAGGTTCATGCGGATTGTGTTAATTTTGTCCAATATTTGGATCCTAATACACGCATGTATTATTGATAAATCTTTTCTCATTCAAATCATTCATCAATAAGGATTGTATATGTATCACCTTCAGAAGTTTTCTGTTATAAATCCTAAATTCAACCCGGTTATTTTTTTTACTGTTTTCCAAAACGTCTCAGTACAGGTTGAATTTGTTTTTTCTTACTGCTAAATATATCAGCTTTTGCAAGGTCTATTAAATGACTCTTTCGTTACAGAGAAACAGTTTGTTATATTGTGCACTATATCTTCATCCTTAAGGAGATATTTTGTGAATATGCTTAGTTGTGTTTCATTTATCTGCATGCATATGTAGTATCATATCCTTCGTATAAAGATGACGATATCTTGTTGATTCTTATGCTAGCTTTTATTCAATGAAGGTAGTTGAAATTCCATACAGTCCGCTTGCGCTATTAGAGTGAATAAAACGTATTTTTCAATCTTTAATTTAAAAGCTTACACGGTCAATCAGCTCTTTTCTTAAATATGTATGTATGTAAACATTTTGTTATACATAACGAACAGTTAAAAATCATTTTTGCAAAATAGCTTTTAATAAAAGCAGTATTTAACCAGTTGCTATATATTGCGTAATTATTGCTTTTCATGCCGAAAAACAAACTCATCCCTTTTATTTGAAAACATCTTCCCACAAAGTGGATAATTGTCAATAGGCCACGATCAACGTTTTCACCTCTAATGCTCATTAGAGGAACAGTTATCTTTTTCAAGGAGGCCATCCAGGTCAATGGACGTATGTCATATCTGTGACCGGACAAAAAGGTTATTGTTGCTAGTTCTTCACCGTATTGAGGTCTTCGTTCAATAAATACTATCGTTACTGTATTTTATTTACATGACGGTAGCCCAAACCCCCTTCAAAAACCAAATACCTCTTAAAAGTACCACGTTATATCCCATCCCTTACGGGTAGGGTTCACTCATATTCACTATTACTGGCTACGTTAAAGTCTTTTGCATTAAGATAATTACGAGACAGAGGACCTGTCCAAACAAAAAGAATTACGTATTCATTTTCTTAATTTAACCTCTTCATATTGATAACTGCTCGAGACTCAAGTTGCATTATTATTATTTGTATTTGCAATTGCTCCGCAATAAAGATTTAGCAGTTGAACGTCTTGCTTTATTATTAGAAAGTACAGGTAAGTTCCAATCGTTTATCTTGTGCACAGATGAGTACATGCACTGTGGTGCATTTAGCACATTCCATATAAACAGCAATTGTGTTAACGTGTAACATATAACTTATTGCCATTATTCATTGTTTTTATCCACGCATTATTGTTTCAGACAACAATGTCTGGCTTGCGTGTCAGAAAGTGTTTTCGCAAGACGAGCACTAAAGATACTAAGCCAGACATACTCACTTGTTCAAATGCACACGAAAGTACCGATGAGCATTTTGTAAATTTGTGTCCTACTAATATAATAATATAGTCGATTACAGAAGCATACATAGATGTGGGAGGAAACGTCCCTACACTCTTCAGGATTTTCAGGTTTCTCCTTTGCAGAACACCATGGGTCTCATAGCAAGATCATTAGCGCTCCAGGTTAGAAAAACACGTGTATCGGTAGACTATGTAACCAGCTTCTTTGGAGACAGATGAGAACCATTCAAAAGAAGGATTGAACACTTGTGAAATAGATCGTATCCTCCAAATGGGAGTCGCATCCGAAACATCTCACGTCCGGATTATCGCTTTGCTCCCTCACGCATGGGAGGAGATTCACCGTGTGCCTCATATCCTTGGTACCCAGCACTAATGGAGTAGCGTATCGCCTCTCCCGATTGACGAAAGCAGCATGACACCATTTAAGGTGATGAATCAGACGAGCAAGGTTGACTAGTTGCTGCCCGGGAATCAGTCAGTGGCCTGTGTCCCATGACCGGTCAGTTTCTGGTGACTAATTATCGGTTAGTTCGTCTCGGTGAACGGTCAGATCGTACCCTTGAATAAATGCCAATAATCTCGTAACAATCCCCATTTCGTCACCGGCCATAACTAGCAGACATCATTGTGAGAGAATTCGAATCGGATCGAGTTGTCCCTCTACACACTCTAACATTATAGCCTTTGC